TTATCAGCTCCATATTAGTTTGTTTATTAGATATATCACACAGTGAAACAGTATTATTTACTGGATGACGTTTCGAACAAAATTTATTGTTCATAATCATATCAACTGTAATCACCCGACTTTGAAACTTGAGCTCTGTCGGTTAAAAGATCCTGTGGAGCCTTTAAAAAAACAGTTTAGTTTATCTAATACCCTGCTGGAATGATTGTCAGGTCAAATACATAGGTCAAACTAGTAGAACAGGGGCAGTCAGACTAGCTGAACATAAAAACCTAGCAAAATCCAGATTGGTTGACCCGAATAAGATAAAAAATCTAGAGAATAGTTCAGCTATAGCACTACACCACATGCAGTTACACACAACCATACAATGTGATGGGATAGGATGACAGTTTTAAAATCTAATATCACAGGGTATAGGGAGAGATTGATAACAGAAGCTTTGTTCATCGAATCAACTGAGAGTGAAGACGTGTAATAGGAATGATTCAACACCTGTCCAGGTGGATATCTGGAAAATTCTACTACCCCAATGACAACGAATAGGAGAGAATAAAGAAAACTATAAAACTCAAGTTTCGAAGTCGTGTGATTATAATAGATGATGTGATTATGAACAATAAATTTTGTTCGAAACGTCATCCAGTAAATAATACTGTTTCACTATGTGATACATCTAACAAACAAAGTAATATGGAATTACTCACTACCACAGTGCCCTAGTTTTACACAAATATTTTATCACCCTCGAAGCTTATCATTTCAGTGGAGGCAGACTGATAGTAGCCAGTTTGTAGCTCAGCTATTCAGATATATAAAGATAACAGCTGAACTACAACTGGTACACAATAATCTCAACAAAAAAAACTTGGATATTCTAGTAATATTCTGGATATCATGAAATTTTTACTTCGGCTTCATAAGACCCTGTCTCAAATAAATGTCACCGCAAAAATGAAGTAGCAGATTGGACAACTAACTGTCCTTTTTGTTCATCCAATTATCTAGAAGATAAGTCTTGCCAACAAAGCGCCAATCATATTTAGGAAAAATGGTAATACAGAGAGAGAGATAAAGTGTCGAGTTCCGAATTGACTACAAGATAACAATGGTATAATAAAATTTTCAAGTATTGGTTGGAGGGTTTCATCTTGGGCTGACATCGGTTAGAGAACCATTAGAAAACCTGCGGGGAGTACTGCACTGCCAGTTGTTTCGTCCTAGTTTGAGACTCTTCATCAGTACGCACCCACACCACGGAGTTCGAACCCGGGACCTTCTGGTAAAAAGGCTAGCGAGCTCGTAGACCATTAAGCTACTGAGACCCAATCCAATGGCCAGCCAGTCCATGAATTCCAACCTCTGCAATTCACGACATAACACGAGCACTTCTCAATGTTTACTTTGATGAGTTACTGCCTTACCTTCAACCTGCTATACCCTACTGGTCACGGTTTCCCCCTAGAACCCCAGGTAACTACTTTCCTAAATAGGACCAGTCGCTAGCGTGCATCAGATTAATTTTCAAGTATTGACTTTTTTAGGGATTGTGTTTGATTGGTTAAAATAAAATGTAAAACAACTGGGAAAGGGCTTTGCATCAAATAATTACAAACATCATTTAATCTGAAGTTAAAATGGAATGAAATGTAACTCAACAACCATGCAGTTAGCAATCATCTACACCTTTTGTATGAATGCAGCCTGGTGGCCTAAACCTAAGTAGGTAGAGTAAAATTCCGACTAGAGGGCCAACTTTTAGAAGTCAGGTAACTAGACCAGTGGGCTATAGGCCTGTTTATTAAGAATAACAGCACTTATCATTTTAACACACACTGAGCATTGACCGCATGCATAAGCATTTGGCAGGTGTTAATTATTAATCGCATAAATGTCAATAGATTTGTAGGAATACGTAAAACAAAACCAACAACACGGGAGTGATCATTAACTGACAATAAGAACATAGATTAACAAACACACACCTGTGGTGAATTATCGTTATGAGTATACTACTTAACCAACCAACTGATTTCGATCTAGGCACTAAGATGCTTATTAAGAATAGATTAGAAATACTATTGTGGTGAGAGCTGGCTGCTAGCCAAAGTTGGTAGACAGTAATTGACGTCAATGTTTATGTCCCCAATATTGGTGGTGAGAAAATGAGAACAAAGGCTTTGCGTAGGCGGATACAATTAGCATATGGATGATCTGACACAGTCACAAAGAGATGCAGGGTTAACTTTCTGTGGGAAACAACCAATGAAAAGATTGTATTTTCTACTAACAATAATCTACAATAATGTACATTAAAATCTATAAATATATGTTGATTTTCCGTAATAAACGATCTGTTGCCTGGCCCTTGTCTTCTGTTGTTACACTATAAAAAGTTTACATATATGCTGATTTTTTTGGGATTTTTCTAAAATAATGAGCTAAAATATAACGCGCTTGTCTTTGCTTGCTTGATAGGATTATTTTCAAACTACAGAAGTTGATCTAAAAACTAAGTTATACATTCAATTTGTGTATAAAATCTGAAGCACTGGATTTAACAATTTTTGTCGGAAAATCAATTTAGAAAAAAAAACTGAGCAAAGAATATGTCCAGAAGGACGACGAAAGCTCGGCGACTAGACCAACCAGCTCAGAGAACACTACTAATTGCAAACCACGGATAATTATTAAAAAAAGGATTAACAAAGGCTTAAAGCGTTGTATTCCCAACCAAAAATCATAATCTTACGAGCTACACACAGTTTAAAGTGTCAAAGATTTTATACTTCATATTTCAACTACTTGTGAACTTTGAGTAGTACTGAAATTATCATCATTGCAATGAACTGATTACCTTAGTGAATCATTTCAAGTGAATTAAATCATCATGAGCTGACATTGGTTAGAGAACCAATGGAAAACCAACAAGGAGTACTGGACAAGTGTTTCGTCCTACTTTTGTACTCTTCAACAGTGTGCACCCACCGCCAGGTTTCGAATCCAGCACCTTCTGGTAACAAGGCGAGCTCGTAAAGCATTAAATCACTAGGACCCGATCCATTGGCCAGCCCATGAATTCTATCTTCTGCCAATTCACGACACAACGCAACCACTAGCATATGTCTTCTTCGATGGATTACTGCCTCACATTCAACTTGCTGCACCCTACTGGTCACGACCTCCCACTAGAACCCGAAGTAACTACCTACCTGAATAGGGCCAGTTGTTAGTAAGCATCAGATCAATTTTCAAGAAAATCCTTACAAAACCAGACGGGTTCTAACCCCATTGGTTGCATACTGCTGTAGAGTCCCAAACTAGGACGAAACTGCTGTGCAGTATTCCCTGCAGGTTTTCCAATGGTTCTCTAACTGATGTGAGCTCATAATGAAATCCTCTAACCAATCAAACTAAATCCCTACAAAAACCAATACTTGAATTAAATTACTAGTATGAATTAGTCAACTATACAAATAAAGGAAATCCAGCCTTAGGGATATGAAACTTTGAGCTGTTAGGCATACCCTGAAAATTATTTAAGATTTAAGAGACTTTTCAACAAGTTGACTTTGAAATAATGTACATTGCTACATAGTTCAAGTGGATGTCTGTTTGGATGGTTTAATCGCACAGCTTTCATCTTCTTTTCTAGGCTGAATCTTAATTGCTAACTTCAGTGTGAATGACAATAAAAGCTCCACAGTCAAACCATCCAGATCATAGAAAAAAACCTACACTAAAAATACATCCGCCCGAGCTACAAATCTTCCCGATTATTTCGAAAGTAATTCATTTTACAGTTAAGGATGATGGACTGAATGAAAAAGGAATTTCTTTACTAATTTATGCCTTCAACGATCTAATGGGTGTGTTTTTGATGTAAATAATTAAGTTATTACCGACCAGGAACATGTTGACCAACAAATTCGCATAAAGAGATGGAGATGGACAGGACATATACTGAGAATATCGTTGAATGACATCATACGCTAGGCAGGCTCTCGAGTGGAACCAGAATGGGGAACGATGAGTTGGGGGAGAGGTCTGTGCAGGTGATATGGAAGAGATCATGTAATTAAAAGATGAAAAATTATCGGCAATTGTAGAACCAGCTAACAAAGACTACAGAGAAGAGACTGAAATGATGATTTTCTGGTGAAACCCTATGTTCCACTCAGAACCCAAAGGAATAATAATTCAAGGTGAAGAATCATACTGTGTGCTTATCACCATTACCAATTAAAACTGAATGTCGATCATACCTGTTACATATTAAAGCACATTTGGGTGACACAAAGAATTTTTTTAGAAAATCTCAGAACTTAGAATGTGGTAAAGACTTACTCCAGTTAAACAACTCATAGAACCTTACACGATTCGAAGCAACAACCTATCTTCACTGAATAGTAGCCCGTCCTTTTATGAATGAATATAGGTTTGTATTATGAATAAAACTCTGTTTGAGCTCCTACTATACTGAAACAGACAACCCAACCTCTCTACATCTTCAGCTCACCTTCCACCTTTTCACAATACAAACTGCACCATCAAATTTCAGGAGTACTTATTTCGAGGAACAGTCAGTAGAAACATTCGCTATCGAAGGTATCTAACTTTATCACTTCAGAGTTAAATTACAGAGTGTTTTTTTCTACTGCTTGATGATAAGGCTGATCATACCAAGAAGCACGAAATCTAGGTCCAGGGGTAGCTGCTGTTTGTCTCCAACCGTTTAACATCAGTTCCTAATGCAGTATAATGGTGAGTCACTCAGATTGAAGGTAAAACCTTAAACTGGTTAGCTCAGCGTTAACGGCTCAGACTGAGACATTGGGCGACGCTCTGAAAGACAGTCAGATGCTTCAGGATTGCAGATACGCCTTGTTGACGAGTGCCAACAACATCAAATTCTAGGTCCAGGGCTTCCTGCAGATGGTATCTGATCATCTAATATCATGATGAGGCATCACAAATAAACACCTACATGAAATACTTACCGATCTTGAGCTTGTAAATCTGATTGTGGATTCCAGTCAGAATCGAATATGATAACAGTATCTGCAGCTGTTTGCAAGTTTATCCCGCAACCGCCAGCTTTAGTTGATATTAAAAATACTGGAAGTTGTTCAACACTTTCAAGATTAAAACGTCTGATAGCATTCTGACGATCATAAATTCTTGTTGAACCATCAATTCTTACAAAAGGTAATGATCTAGAGTCTAATAACTCTTCCAGTAGATCTAAAATCATTGTGAATTGAGAGAAAACAACTACCTGTTGCATGAGAAAAAGAAGAAGAAAAAATATATATGTAAAAATCTTACACAGGTATTGATTAAATCTTTTGATTTTGTGCTTGACGTCTTATGATTGTATATCGGGTAATTGAAGTTCAAATAATTTTCAGGGCATTATTTGTGACCGGTTGACTGAACGGATCACAATGCAGAATTTCGCACAAAATTGCAGCAGTCCAAGTTGCTACACTTCGTAAAGCACATGAATGTGGAAATAAAAATTAAGAGGGGCTAAATTGAACGGAAATATGTGTGAGCAGGTACAAGTATGTGGAGAACAATTAGAATTTAATGGATCCGGGACTTCGTATAGAGCAAAGGCATCTGCTCCTTTGAGAGCTGTTTTGAGTCATTTCACCTACAGTCTGTGGTCGCCAACTCTTGATGTCTTGAAGACCCCAACCAAGCAGTTTGGACCTCCCAACATGGTTCACACCGACAGTGAACGTTCTCATGGACTGATGGCAGGTTTCGATTCGACCACAGCTAGCTCTTATTCAATCTTATCCCATGTTAGCTAACATTACCCATCTGATAAAGCTATGGCTGGGCACGTGTAACACGTGTTCTAGCCATCTCAGCTCATGTAACTTCACAACCTAATTGATTAGTTACAGGATTTCATCATGAGCTGACATTGGTCAGAGAACCATTGGAAAACCTGTTTCGTCCTAGTTTGTGACTCTTCATCAGTACGCACCCACCGGGGTTCGAACCCAGGACCTTCTGGTTACAAGGCGAGCTCGTAGACCATTAGTGTAATTTTCAAGGATTACTTCTGAAAAAGCTATAAATTAGTTTAGAGCAGTGGATGAGGAACCAATTTCAAAATGAATATATTTTTTCCATAAAAATTTTATCAACAATAATTTCAATATAGTGTATCAATCAGTTTGACTACTCCTGTGAAGCCAGTTATATTGTGTGTATAGTTAGACATGTTCATAATCGGATTTCTGAGCACCGTCTTGTGTAGTTAAACAAAGACCAAACAGTGTTTATTGGTAGCTCTCTTTTAGCTCAACTTGTACACAATGAACTTAAAATAGATGTTTAAGTTACCTACCATGTTCAGACTAATCTCAGTTTCGCCTTACGGGTTCATTTTTTATGTACAGCTGAAGCTGTAGGAATCCAACTGAAGAAGCCTAACTTATGGATTCAAAAGAAGTTCGTTCAGACGCTTTCCCCATCTTGGTCATTATTTTTTTATAAACTATCTTTAATTGTCGCATAACTTTTTATCCTTATTGTCCCTTACACATACTTTCGAACTGTAATCCGATGATTTCGATATTATTTAAAAAAATATCAATACTGTCAATAAATATTATCCATTAAATAGTATGTGCTTTGATTAGAAACTAGATAATAACAAGTATCATGCATGCAGTCTCTTGTTAGGTGTAGGCTGAATTTTATCAAACAAGTGTGAGGTGTGATCACCATGCTAGGTGGCCCACCATCATGTCGCACTCCGAATGTTTGTTAATAGGTGGTTGGAGGCAATCGGCAGAAAGCTTTGGACCTAGGTTTGGTGCTTGCAAGGCATATCTGCAGTTATGGAGTAACTCATGTCCCTTCTGAGATTTGAGCCCGTGTCGCTCAGTGCTGCAATCAGATACGTTATCAGGAGGTGGATCGCGAGTTCGAACAGTTTAGTCATAACGTCTCTGACTTAAGCACTGAGTGACACAGGCTCGAGTACCAGAAGGGACAGGAGTTCCTTCAAAGTTGCAGATGCACCTTTTTGACGAGTGCCAGTGAGCACAAAATCTAGGCCCAAGGCTTCCTACCAATTGCCTCCAACCATCTAATAACAAATATTATGTGCATACACAAGTGTAAAATCAGATGAGGAAGTTATCGAAAAGAATATTCCTTGCTCAGTCCTTTTTGTCTTCTAAACAATAATTTATTGTTTCACTTTTCTTTAAAGCCCTTGTTTCTGTTTTATTAAGAAATTCAATGTAGGGAAAACATACTTCTTCCCAAAAACTTTTTTCCATAAACTTACTTTATGTCCATCTCCAATCAACCGTTTAAGAAGACGATCAAGTAGACGCGTTTTCCCGCTAGCTTCAATTAACTCTTTCTGCTCAACAGTAAGAATAGACATATCTTCTTTTTCTACTGACATATTGTCTGAATCTCCAGAAATGTTATTTGGCGAGCCGGGAATAATAACAGAAGATGATTCCGGTTGCAGTGAAGATGGTCGTTCAATAACCAAGAATGGATGATTGACAATCCGTCGTAAAAGCATGAACCCGTTATTCAAGCTAATATTCGGTAGCAATACAAATTCAGAATCAACTTCCGTCTTTGTAGATTCTTTTTTAAGTGTCATTTCTGTGGAGCTGGTTTTGGAGCTAAAAATATCGAATAAGAGAAAAAATGATCAGAAAAACAGATAATTTTTCATATTTTAAATTATGGGTTTTTGTAGGAATTCGGATTAATTTGACTGTTGATTTCGTCACGGGCCAACATCAGATACAGATCATTGAAAACCACGGAGTACTGGACAAATGTTTGTTCTATATTGCGCCTCTTCAGCAGTGATCACCCATGACCAAATCAGGGATCAAATCTAGAACCTTCAGGTTACAAGACCAAACTTGTTGACTATTCGTGACATAGTGCTACCCTCAATCAGTTCCTTCGATGAACATTCACTTCACCTTGACATGGTGGATCCCACTGTGGTGAGAGCTGGCTGCTAGCCAAATTGGTAGACAGTAATTTACGTCAATGTTAACGTCCCCCATATTGGTTGTGAGAAAAATAAGAACAAAGCCGATTCAACAACCAATCACAGCAGACTTTGCGTAGGCGGATACAATTTGCAGATAAATAATCTGAACTTCAAGAAACGGCCACAAAGAGATGAAAGACTAACGTTCAGCGAGAAACCACCAATCAGAAGGCTGTGTTTGTTTGCTTACAATAATCTATAATAATGTACATGAAAATCTATAAACATCTGTTGATTTCCTAAATAAACGATCTGTTGCCTGGCCCTTGTCTTCTGTTGTTACACCACTAGTCACATCTTCACAGTTCAGCTTCAGGACATTCATCCAGTAGGTATCAATGAGCAGGAGGCTGATATTTTAGATTATAGTGTGTGCGCCACTGAAGAGTCCCAAGCTAAGGGGAAACAGAGCTATAGTGCTACCTGGTTTTCAAAGGTCTCTAATTGGTGTTGGTTCGTGATAAAAATCTACATTGAAATAATTCTGAATTATTTTGTGTAGAGTTTTAATAAAGTAGTTAAATGCAAAGACAAGTTGTTAACAATCAAGTGAATTGAAATAATGGAGAAGATTTGTAGCTCTTATGGATGATATTGAATTAATTGTGTTCTCTGACGAATCTTTCGTCATCCTTCTAGACAACATCTTCGGTGCAGGTTTTAGTATAAAAGAGACTCATTTAGATTCTCCTGGCAAACACTATCGTGACTGGATGTTGATTTACATCTCTATTGATTAGTTTATTGACTTGGAATTCAAAAATTCTTGTCACGTGATTTACTTCTTATTAGCTGTCTATAATAATGTGTTTGATAACTGTTGATTCACTCGACTACCATGCTTCTAGGAACTCCCTGGCATTTTTGGTGTTTCCTCTATTTAAAATTTCTGCATTATCCCAATCAAATTGGTGTCCATAATTATCTACATGCATTGATACGAAAGAATATATATATCATGTCTTTTTACAGCTGATTTGTGTCTTTGGATTCGGATTCGAAGGGGACGCTCACTAATTCAATCAAGTTAATTTAAATAACTCAAATAAGATTTTAAAAATTTTCCACTTCTTTATGTAAATATACTAAGAACCTTATAAAATATCAACATTAAGATTCATCAGATGTTATAGTGTTTCATCGGTTAGCGATATTTCTTATTAAACAGTATCAAAGGGACTAATTGTTTTAAGTATGCTGCTTGTTAATAAGTGGTAATGGTCAAGAAACACAGACTAAAGCTATGGCAATGAAAATCTCTCCGTCAACAACACATCATTTAAATTCAATTCACTGCGAAATTTCAGTAACTTGGCTTATTTTAAAAATTGTAAGATGCAGTGAGTATACCTACTTGCCAGTTTGGCACTAATCACAAACACCGAACACCTTATACTTACTGAGTAAGCATTATATGTGAAGTGTTGTACTGTCTGTGACTGCCGCGATAGCTGACGCGGGTTAGAATCTTTTAGGGGATATCAGTCCTTTCGTGGCTACAGATACACCTTACTGAAGAGTCGCAACGATAATAAAGCTTAGGTCGAAGGGTTCCTACAGATTGCTACTAGCCAAGTAACATCAATTCAAAGTGCATCATTACCTAGAGTGGTGACCACATTATAAACTTAACTAATAGAATACAGTCAGGATTGTACATATGTCATTCACTTCTGTATATTTGTTGGAAGGTAGATTATTGGCTGGTTTGTTCTGTTGCCAGAGTTCCACATAGCTTATCTTTACTGACTGGTCATCTGATCTTCACTATTGAGCTGGAGAAGGCAGTTGTTGATGAAATTCTGCAGTAGCTTGTTGGAAACGCTTTATGTGACACATTATTTCTCTGAACTATATAAAAGAACTTGACATTAATTTCGCATGCTCAGTGCAGCCTTTGTTACTCTCCCAATCCTAGTTCTGATATTCTCATCTGCACCACTTGCAGCTGAAATTATACTGCCTAGGAAAGTGAAATATCTAACTTCTTTCAGATTTCTTCTGCTCACCAATTAGTGATTGTAACCCAAGTGGCCTAGTAGATAACGCTGTGGTGAGAGCTGTCTACTAGCCAAATTGGTAGACAGTAATTTACGTCAATGTTTACGTTCTCAAGATTGGTCGTGAGAAAATATGAACAAGACTGATTCAAAACCAACCACAGCAGACTTTGCGTAGGCGGATGCAGTTAACATATAGATAATGTGACATTCAAGAAACAGTAACAAAGAGATGAAAGATTAACTTTAAGTGAGAAAGAACCAATCAGAAGACTGTGTTTGTTTGCTTAACTAAACTATAATAATGTACATGAAAATATATAAATATGCTTTGATTTCCTTAATAAACGATCTGTTGCCTGACCCTTGTCTTCTGTTGTTACAACGCTATTTAACTTCACCTACTTTACTGACCAATCAAAAAACCCCCCAAAAAAGAAGGAAGGTTGGATGTCGAGCTAACAATCCTGACCCAGAAAATCAACTCAATCACTACAGACACTTCAATCCAACCAAAGAAAGTATAGCTAAATGTTAGTATAAATAATAATAAACTACTGATTAACTACTTATTAGTATTGAGTTGTTTTTTTGAAAAATTTTATTCAGCCAAAAAAGTATTCTCTATTTATACTCACCTTATACTTCTAGTGACTCGAGGAGAGTGAGACTTATTTCGATGAGGTTTACGACGGGTTACAGATTCCTCAAGTATATTAAATTTATCAACAGAAGTCCATGTATATCCGACTCTGTAATTGTTTGACTTATTTCTTAATAAAGCACTCAAATCACACAGATTTTGATTTTTTAGTAGAATATCAACAATATAATCATATAACTTCTGAAAAAGCAATAATAATAATAAAGAGACATATGCAGATAAGTGGTTGGTAAAAAGAGATGAGTAAATATAAATCGATTTGAAATTCACAATTTGCAATATATACAGTTCGAGTGGAAAATTTTCACCATAGTTTCCATCGAAAACAAAATAATTCAGATCTCACACCTACTGTGATTTGCTTGATACTGTAAATGGTAATCAGAAAAAAAGCAAGTATATTAGCATAAAACTATATACTACTGATTGATTGAGATGAGTAGTTGTATACTACTTATATCAACTGGTAGTGCTTGCTAACTAATTTGCAAAATTGACAAATTTGATTTGATTATTGGTGTCACCAGTTCGACCGAATCGGTGGTACAGAGGCAGAATGCTCGTCGACCACGCCCCACGTGGTCCGCGATTCGATCCCCGGCCGACGACGCACTCCTTTACCTCGCTAAGTCAGTAATAAAGCTGGTAAAGAGGAAAGGTTGGGCATGAGGCTAGCAACCCCATCCTCTGAAAATAATCGCCACTGCTACAGAAATTTCAAGCCTCTAGCTTGAAGCCCTGTTGTTTCACCGGGAACATGAAGAAATGAATAAAAAATATGTTCGATCGAGTAGCTAGCCAGAGATTGGGTGGTTTGAACTCATTCAACTGTTTGAGCTGAGGAGCTCAGCACCAAACGAGTGAAACGGCCGTCCAATGTTTGGATCACCTAGATCTATCTGACTAGCAAGCACTACTGGTTGATATATGAGTGGTATGCGACTACTAATCTCACTCGGTTAGTAATATATAGTTTCTTCATCTATTTGTTCTTGCAAACCACACACACACAATAAAACATCAGTAGAATTGTGACTTATATAAGGCTGACTTAAGTGATTTGTGTTCACTGTGAATTAATAAGCAGGATTATTTCGAGGAAATTGTTAAGTAGTTATCTCATGTGTTATTGGATTGGCTATATTACATGGTGAACTGCTTTACAAACAGACATCACTCTGAGCTGGATCTGTTCCGTTGTGCATATACATACTCAACTTCTGTCGAGATCGGATCATTAAACCCTTTGACAAAAAGATAAAACCCTTGGACAGGCAAATTACTTGGCATTCGCTAAATTTCGTCATTTTTCATGCATGCATAATTTGAGGCTTTTCACTAAAGGACATATGTACTATGCGATAATTTCACCTATTCTTCTTTATGACTGTGACATATGGCGATTGAAAATGGAAGATACGAAAATATTAATAAATATTCGCCACAGATGTGTGCGATGTAGTCAAGTTAGATGTAGTGTCTTAAATAAAGAAGGCCAACACATCGATGAGCTCGTGAAGCTGCGTTGACTGACATACCAACGACACACGTTACGCATGTCCAGTCTCAGTCTTTAATGAGGATTATGTTATAGAAGAGCTAGGGAAAGTCACACAAAAAGATAGCAACAATCCAAGAAACATTTGATTGTTATTTCAAACCAAACAGGAAGGCATAGAATGCTAGGATACTCAAGAAGCTAAGAGTCCACAAAAGTGTGGATGTAAACACTCCCAGCTTTTGAGAATAACTTTTAAGAGTAAATCCAGGATGATTTGGTCATAAAAGTACTTCAAAATCTTGAACTTCATCCTGGTAGTTGTATGCCACTTATATCAAACACTCCTGTTGTTTCCTTATCATCGTATCTTCATTATATTTCTACCGTATAATATTTAGTGGTATTCGTAGAGCTAGTTAAAACAGACTGCAAAGTACAGAATGAAGTAAAAATGTGTTGTTGAAGTCGTATATTCCACTTGGAACCCAAAGGAATAATCATAATAATGTTTTATTAATTTTGGCTCTCTACTCTGAACCATTGTGCATCACATTTTCGAATCCTCCTAGCCTTAAAGAAATTTCATACATTTATTCTCCTTTATGAATTTGAATAAAGCAAGAACAACAGTTTTCGCAGAATAAAATGATACCATCATTTATTTCGTTGGCTTCTCATCAGCTGCTTGTAGCCCAAAGTCATTATTACGTATATCTACAGAAACAATTTTAACATACACACAGAGTTCATTTTTAAGCAAAAATCAATCAGTGTATGTATACAATAATAATACATATAATAATAAACACATTATCCCAAACAGTAATGATCACACACAATGGAAACTTTTGGCACTACGTAATCAGATGAGAGAGGGTGGAAATATCCAGTCACCAGGACAAAGAAAGACTGATAATCACTTATTTCTGGACGCAAAGGTCGAGTTTCAGGCTCATGATGGGGAATGCTTCGTCAAACTTAAGGAGAATTGAACTCTTTTGCCTACTGATAATTTTGACCGATCTTGTGGTGTCCACCTTATGACCCGTGTCAAGGAGATGCCTGGCAGTGGCACTGTTTAAAGCATTTGTTCCCTTTAGACACAGGCTTTTTGGTAGATGTTCAGAAAATCGTAGATGTGCCCTTCTTTCTGTTCTTCCAGTGTAACTGCTCCCGCAGATACATGAAAATTTGTATATACATTTGGAGTTAACATGAGAAGGATATCTGTCGATTTTCGATTGCACCAAAGAGTAAGTTGTTCGATAGACGGGGACGAGCTTATCTGCAGGATAAGCTCTACCTATAGACGTCCTCAATCTTTTGTTGACCATTCCTACAATGTTTTCATTTTTATAATCAAGTTGAATGTGGATTGGCTTTTTCTCCACTGTGATTTGTTTGACATTTGAAACTTCAGATCTTCCGTACTTGCTGATGAATCTTTGAGGGTAACCACTGCTTTTCAACATCTTTTCGAGAAACATGAATTCTTCCTGTAATTTGTCTGCAGAGCATATTCTCCTAGATCTATAGTATAGAGTCTTGACTAGTCCACGTTTAAAGCTATTTGGATAAAAACTATTAAAATGTAGGTATTGGCCTTTCCAGGTAGGCTTTCAGTAAATTGACTTCTGAAGACTACCATCTTCTAGGCGTTGCATGGCAATGTTGAGGAAGTGGAACTTTCCATCATTTTCATGTTCCATAGTAAATTCAATATTGGTATATGCATCATTCAATAATCTGAGTATGTGGGAAGCATGACTTTCATTATTGTACACTACAAATGTGTCATCAACATATCGACAGTAGGAAGTTGTTTCGTCGATTGCATGCCTCACTTTTGTTCTTTCAAGGTTGGGCATGAATTTCTCTTATTGAAAAAATCCCTCCATTGCATAGTACCAAACGTAACTAATAGGTCACGTTTTGTTTCATTGAATACTCTCCATATAATTTTTTTTTAAAACCACATCTGAATACATCCACTAGTTATACAGTGGATATGTGTTTTTATGTGTTAGCAGGTGAATGATATTCGTTTTCTTTTCAATTCATGAAGAACTTGATTACTGAAAAGTAACTGACTGAACTGTGCTATTCCATTTGACTCACGCTCACAATTGAGTTATCCTATACGGATAACGTAAATAACAAGGCATGAACCACATTTGATATGTGAAAGATAATGGCAAAACTGGTTAACCAGAAACTAAAGTATGTAGAGAGTAGTTTGAATTCAAACCTAATTGGTTAGTTAGTTAGTTAGTTAGCGGCAGGTTAATATTTAACATTTCTACATTCCATGTATGATCACATATTGGTATCACAGTAGGGGAATCATTAAAAAAACCAGGGAGTACTGGACGCCTGTTTCACCCTAGTCTGGGACTCTTCATCAGTACACACCCATAATCGCACCATGTACTGAACCCAAGACTTTTAGGTTAAGACGCCAGATTACTAACCATTGAGCCACTGAGACAGAATCCAATGGCCCGTGAATTCTAACTTCTACCAATCAATTCGTGATTTTCTACACTAATTAATCAAAGAATGTAGACAACACTCTTGGGTTAAGGCTAGTTTATAAATAACAAGCCAACAACAACAAAAAAACCCAGAGAATCTAAGCAGTACAAAATAAAAATGTGAAATGAAATTACCTTTTGAATAGGTGACATATTTACGCGGAGAACTATTTCCTTCTTTGGAGGTAATTTTAAATTAACTTCAATTTTTGATCGACGAAGTATGAATGGATGAATAATTTGATGTAGTTTTGTAATTAGAGAACTTTCCATTTCAGCAGCAACTAAACGATTTTGACCGGATGCATTGCATAATACAGCAGGATCAAACCAACTCTGTTAAAATACAAATAAATAGGGAAAAATTAGTTGTGCATTTGAAGATTGGTGATCTTGCTAAAATAAAGATGCAATATTACTCTGATAAACAATAGACCTTCATCTGTTTTTGAAATCAGTCTGGGAATCTGCTGTACTCAGTAGGAGGAACAAGACCGCTTTCTTCAGTACTAATATCAAGTCAGTGCTTCTATATAGTTCAGAGACTTGGTGTGTCATGAAAACCATTCCGAACATGCTTTAGACTTTCATCAATAGCCTTCTTCGTTGCCTCAAAACTGAAGATCAGATAGCCTGCTAGTCAGGAAGGATAAGAAACAACGAGCTCTGGCAGTTCAATGAACCAGTCCAGTTAACATATCACCAACCAAATTTGTAGAAGGAAAGGGAGATGGATTAAGCATACGCTGAGGAGGCTGTTGAATGACATTACACGACAGGCCTTTCCAGCGGAACCCGAATCGGAAGAGACAAGTTATGCGTGTGTCCGAAGGTGATACGAAAGAGATCTCGTATGAGGAGGAAATTAAAGATTATAGGAAGTCACGCCGCCAGCTAAACAGACTACAGAGAACAGGGTGAAATGAAGATGTGCTACTGAAGGCCGAAGTTCAACTAGGAACCCAAGGGAATAATAAATGAATAAGTAATAGGCAGCAGTTATAAGAATAAGTAAAACACAAATTATTCGTTCATTAAGCTTAGAGGACATTTTTTTCAGTCAAAAATAAGTTGACATGATTGTCTAATAATGGAATGCATGTATTTTGTTAGGTGTTGGTTCTAGTGGAGCCGAATCCCAACTTGGGAGGAGGAGGTATACAATTGCTGACATTTGAGCGTTTAATCCACTGATATGTACTCATCAACGTTCAGTTTTGTGTAGTTACTACTGATGTGATTGTGAACAATAAGTTGTACTCATATTATAAAGGTAGTGTATCAGTTTAGGTTCAGTGAATTATGTTAGAATACCGCTTGTGGCTATCGCAAACACTATACTTTTAGTATCTCAATTGCTGAAGTTTCAAGAATGTTTCTCGGAAGGATTCGCTGTATTACTTGATTTATTCTCTCAGAAGATACACCGAAAATGTTTTTTTTTAAATAGAAAGAAAGTGGACATCTTGAAATAATCGACTATGAAGAAACGTTTTCTAGGGCGAATACTGTACCAGTATTATCCGGTCATTTAAATTTAAAAGTTATAGTTTGGTTTGTAAGGGTTTGTTATGTTTTTAAGAGTTGATCACGGACTGATATCAGTTAGAGAACCATTGAAAACCAGGGAGTACTGGACAGCTGCTGTTTCATCCTAGTCTGGGAATCATCGGCAGTACGCACCCACTGAGATTCGAACTGAGGACCTTCCGATTACTAGGCAAGCTCGTACACCATTCAGCCAATGGGACCCGATTCAATGGCTCATGAATTCTAACTTCTACCAATTCGTGATTTAGCGCGATCCCAACCATTGTCGTTGGTGGGACATCCATCCACACACATGACATCTGGTTGAACCTCACTGGTCACGACTTCTCACTAGAACTCCAGGAAACTACATCCTGTAGCAAGTCACTAGCGAGCATCAGATGGATGTCCCACCAACGACAATGGTTGGGGTCGCGCTAAATCACGAATTGGTAGAAGTTAGAATTCATGAGCCATTGAATCGGGTCCCATTGGCTGAATGGTATACGAGCTTGCCTAGTAATCGGAAGGTCCTCGGTTCGAATCTCAGTGGGTGCGTACTGCCGATGATTCCCAGACTAGGATGAAACAGCAGCTGTCCAGTACTCCCTGGTTTTCAATGGTTCTCTAACTGATATCAGTCCGTGATCAACTCGTTAAAAGTTATGGTTTACAAATGTAGGCAGATCGGTTGATCATAGTTCATAATAGTCACTAATGGATATAGTGGTCCTATTCACGATTTGACATTGGCTAACCATTAACACCATTTCGCAACATGAATGACGCCTATTCAACTTATTCTTCAGGTTCTCTAGATAATTATTTCTGCAAGAAAGTTGAATACACCTTGACAAACTTTACGTTCATTTCCGATAGATGTATAAATGCTGCATACAACTTCAGAAGCCAATCTTCTTTGCTTCACTAGATAGCATTTTATCATTTCTGAAATAAACAAACAAAATTTTTCACTCTGAGTGAATATCTTTCTATACAGACATTAAACAACAGAGTGAAATATAACTCTTCAAGAATAGTGTCGTTTTTCACACCTCTGAAATTATATACCTGACGATTGCAATCTGAATGTTTCTCAGCCGATGTCATCATCTGACATTTCTTATGATACACTCATTACTGGTAATAATATTAAATCTGTTGAAAACTTTATTATCTTATTTAATCATATTCATCCAAATATCCGAGTGACTTCAGAACTCGAATTAAAAAAATAACAAACTCGGTTTCCTGGATATTACAATGACCAGGATAGATGATGGAACGATTCAGCGATCTATTTTTCGTAAACAGACATGGAGTGGACAATATCTTCATTTCACCAGTTTTGTTCCCCTGTTCATTATAATCGTTCCCTAGTGAAATGTTTGTTTTCAAGGGCCCGAAAAATATGCACGAGTGATACATTGATGGATGAGCTTCGACATATACATTCAGTTTTATTAGCTAATGGTTATCCGGAAAACTTTATCACTTGTCACAGTAAGGATAGACCACATCTCGAAAAGACAGCTTCTGTACCAAAGAAAGCTATCTTTATTAACCTACCAGATTATGCAGTTGACAGCTCAAAGACTTCGGTCAGCCATCAAACGCACATTCTACACCGCATCTCTTTTTCCCACTTGCCGAACATTTTCGATCCCTGTACCTACGATTAAAGGACGAAATTCTGTGGACCCTACTTCAAACTGTATCTACAAGTTCACCTGCAGCTACGGTGACACCTAAATAAGATAGAACCAATAGAATGTTCCAATGTCGTCGAAAAGAACATGTTCCAAAATGGTTACTAAATCATATAGAAAATCCCAATGCGATTAATCTGAATACAAATCCAGCATCATCCATTGCAAAACACTTATTAATGTCAGGTCACAAAATCAATATTAATGACTGTTTCACAATTATTTCACATAACTCTAATTCAAGGTTGGTTATTGAAGATGATGAAAACACTTTGGATTAATCAAATACAGCCTAAACTGTGTGCACAAAAAACAATAGACTTCAACCTTCGCCTACCATGGACCAATTTTTTTCCTTCACGTTCCCAGTGGAACATAGGGCTTCAAGCTAGTGGCCTGAAGTTTCTGTAGCAGTGTTTGTTTTACAGGATGGGTTTGCTAGCCTCATGCCCAACCTTTCCTCTTCACCAGCAGTAGTTCTGGCTTAGCGAGGTAAAGGAGTGCGGCGTTGGCCGGGGATCGAACCCCGGATTATGTGCATCGTCGGCGAGCGTCCTAACTGCTATGCCACCGATGACTAGTTGACCTATTTAAATATGATTGGTCATTAGTACGTAATTTTTTTATATAACGGAGTCATGAACTTTATTTTATTACTGTTAACCTTGTTAGTTGTAAAGCGGTTGTAAAGAAACAACGAAATGATATCATCTCGCGAAATTTATCTTCTTAATGCCTTATTCAAATTTATCAAAGGGAGTAAATTTCAGAAAAATAAAATCTTTAGTATGAAAACCTTTTTTAGAAATTCCTCAACAAAAACTAATGATTAAAAATATTTTAAAAAAAACAAATTAGACTAACTTCGAACATAGCCAATGAAGTAAATATTTCAGGCAGTATAAAATGCAGCAGTGACCAGAGCTCAGAAAGACGATTTTGTAATGGTGTTCCAGTGACGAGTAGACGTAAACCAACTGAAAATTTTGTCAAACATTTGTATAGCTTTGACAGAGGATTTTTTAATCTATGCCCTTCGTCGATAATCAACGCCTAAACGGTTAGTCATAGAAAAAGAAAAAGAAAGATGTTATCATTCATTATTCATTCTCTCTCTCTCGAGAGAGAAATGCATCCATCTCAAATCATTCACATGCTTTCTCGTTAGGCTCACCTTAAATGGAACATTCTTCAGGTAACCTGCATCACGAATAGCTACATCAAATGTTGTCAATATGATTGGACATGTCTTGAAACTGGATGAATTGACATCCTTAGATGTGGAACTGTTAGAAGTAGAATATATTGAGCTTGCATAGTGTGAATCTATGCTGAAATGACATTCCTGTTGTAGATCATGATTATCGCTCAGATCATTATTTGTCTGATCTGTATGAATTTTTTCGGTTGTTGATTCTTCTTCTATACAGCTTGTGAATACATCGCTGGCAACTTTAGTATTTGTCGAAGATTCTGAATGTTCACAGTCGGCAATTGTTTCCACATTTGTATTTTGGTAGTCATTTATAACATTGGTGATAATATCATCTAAATGAGCTAAAGCTATCAGTTTATCTTCTTCAGTTTGTGTAGAATAAGGCACTGTCTGTTCACATAATGGCAAGTTGGATAGGGAATCAGATGATGCCTTATCATCAATAAGGCAGGGTGAATTCAAATCAGTAGAGACATCGTCTTGCGTGCACCCCACTGTAACATCAGTATGTTCTTCTGAAATCTCAGGAGGAACTGAGGAATTTTCGTTTTCTGCACAAATCTGAAGTGAACTAGAACTGATTTTTGATGGAGAAGCAATGACACAATCTTCTTCTTCGACGCTGGAATTAGATATGCAAGGATCTACCGTTTCTGTTTGGTTGCAGCACATGTGTTCTTTATCCTCAGTGGGATATTCATCCTTAGCACTTTGTAGTTGGACATTATCACATATAATAGCTTCACTTGATGGTGATTCTGTAGTATTTATACAATTATTCTCCGTATGATGATGATTTTGGACGGGTGTTGTTGGCATTGCATCAGGCACATCTACGTTTCCATTGACTAAACAATCCGAGCGTCCCTCTTCAGTCTCATCTGCTGACATTTTCTCAGCTTCAGGATCAATTTTAATTTTGAAATTTTCGCCTGCTGCGTAACTTGGACTGGAGTTATCCTTTAACACATTTTTCTCCTCATGATCATCAAAACTTGACAATACTTCAGAAATTATACTATCGACTACATCAGTACAGGAATGTTTCATCTCATGGTTTTGAGAAATATTCATTTCATCTTCGTGTGTACGCATTCTTTTTGGTGCTGAAGAGTAGCTAGGTAATGAACAAGAGCTAACAGAAAGTGAAACAACAGAGTTATCACCTTCAGGCTCTGAACAGAATGAACTTGTCTGATAAGATAAATTATCACTACTACTAGAAACTGCCTGACCTTCGTTACACTGAGGCATAGCTTGTTTTGCTACAGTGTCATTATTCTGTGATTTTTCATACACTTTAAATAAGGGAACTTTTATTGGGCCATCAAGAGATATATGAATACGTTTACGAATAAATTTCCGGAGTTCTAGACGTTCTTTCATTGATCCATAGTAAACCATACATGGAAGTCTAGGTGCAAACGTAGCTAACTGGTCAGACCAAACAGATATTAGGGACAATGGAGCGATGATCAAAAAGGGTCCAGAAACACCAGACTCAATCAAGTCAGCTAGACCAGCAATAACCTGAAAATAAAAGTAAGAAAATAGATACTTGAGAATTATTCAATAAGATAAAAAACTCATTGTTTAATATCTCCATGCACCAAGAATAAGACAGTCTATCTTTCAAAATGAACAAGCTGAATATTCAACTTTCATATAGATAACAAGTATAAAAGAAGAAATAAGTTCACTTTGAATACTCCTTAAATCGAATGCAAAACTTTGATACAAGTATGGAATTTTCAGCATGTGAAATCGCTAGCCCGAATTTTTCCGGCCGACCATTGATATCAGGTGTCCATCGGCAGGAGGTCGAACCCCGGACCATGTGCATGGTCGGCAAGAGTCCTAACCAAATAGTAGTATTTCACCAAATAATACAAATAAATCCTCCTGAATTATCAAATGAACCGAACAAACCAGTAATTTTTGGGTATACCTATTTCCTGCAGTTTAACAAGCTGTTACCCCATAAAAGGAATCTAAGTCTGTCGTAACTGCTACGCTTTTGACCAACGTATCCACAAGACCTCACAAGTCACTTCAGTGTAGGTCCTAAGTAGAACTGTAACAGCCAATATTTTGCGAACTACTTGTAGTAGTCTATAACACTGATGGTTGTTACTTACAATAAATGGGCTATTTTAAGATGAAAACAGTAATGCCCCAATTTTAGAATGTCGGGGAACTTTCACTTTAATATACAAACAATTTAGTCAGCTTCCTGACTTTCACCTTGCTTCAAACGATAAAACCCCATAGGAAATTTAGTTGAAGATACCCCAAGTTAGAATAATATTTGATTTCATTAGGAGTTTTAAACGCAGATCTAGAGTAACCATACTGATGGTAACGAAAATACACGACGAACCTATAATTTTGAGTAATCACCATTCTCATGAAAACCCCAAGGAGGCAGACAGTTCCGTATATTTTCACATCATAACCAGTCGTTTCAGATGGGGTCTATCTGACACTTCGGTTTAGCAGTGAGGGAAGGTGCTATGCGGCAAGGCAGTTATAGTCTCATATCAATAGGTATTGTATGCGCTGAAAACAGTTTCAATAGGCAATTTTCAATTTCGACTTTTAACTGGGTAGTTACAACTCATTTTCATAATTTCAGATCCATAGGATGTAAACTTGAGTGTTTATTTCGGTACTACAATATCCCTCGACTAAAAATGTGTGAACATAATGCATAAGTTGCGATAAGAACTTCTCTTTGGTTCCACGCAAGCTACAGCACATGGATGTGGACACACATAAATGACGGAGAATTATCAAGTCTTTTACTAACTACATCATAATTTGAATAAGCCATGACAGCGCACAGATAATTTCAAATGAAGACTTATTAATGTAGCGTTTGGTCTTGCTCTAAGGTTATTTCTTTTTATTTTATACCTTTGCATCCCCAGTAGGACATGGAACTTCAATCTTGAGCTATTGTGTCTATTTTGTACGGCTTAGGGTTTCTAGCCCTACACACCAAACCTTCCCTCTTTACTGGGCTTACTACAGACTAAGTGAGGTTATGGAGTTGATCGATCGAGAATCGAACCCCGGACGACGTAAGTGGTTATAGTGAGTATTTTACCAATAAACCATCGACACACTTTGCTCTAAGAGCAACATCCATGTAATAAGTAGGGCACACAGCCGATGCCTCGAGTAAGAACACATGAAGTAGACTTTTTCAGATGACAGATGAACAATTTATTTGAAGAGCTTTACCAGTCTATGGTCTTTAGAATACAAATTATATCAACTATACGAGTTTTGATATCTTCAATAAACCCATCTGTCAACTAATCGTATATTCAGTTATAATAACAATCAAATGGAACCAGTTGGGTACAACAACAATAAAAAATGAATGTGAAACAACTTTATCTATATCTGCATATGATTAACACAACATGACAAGAATGTTAATCAATGACCCAATAACTTAAGGAATCATCAGTAAGTTAAGTCACATAAGATTCATAAACATTCCATTCAAAAATCATATTTAACACAGTTGACAGATTGAATGAGACACTGAACAGTCATTCGGGTCAAGACCAACTGTTGTGTTAAAATACAAAGATCTCATTTGTTAATCAATGTCTATCTGTCTGAATTCAACATAGAACTTGGCACCGAAGTGCAGCAGTTCGAGCTGCCACGTTCCAAATAGCACACAAAGGTAGACAAGAAGATGAGTGAAGAGAATCAATAGAGTTTTGACAAGTATAAGAGTGAAACAGAATGAGTAATGGTAGAAAGGAATATGAAAGATTACAGAGACTGAATACACCTGCGCCATTGACAACGATTTTGAGCCATGTTACCTATTTTCTCCAGCCATTGATTCTCAGAGTCTCAAGGGCCCCAACCCGGAAGTTTGCATCTCCCTACCTGACTCAGTTTAACTGTCAAGGATTTCATGGATTGATGCCATGTTTTTGTTTGGCCACCACTTACTCTTTTCCAACCTGCACCCATATCAGCTAGTAATGCCCGTCGGGGGAGGCGATGGTTAGGCATGCGCAGCACGTGACCTAGCCATCTCAATCTATGTAACTTTATAGCCTCTTCGATTGATTTTCCCTCTTTGCCCAACACTCTACGCCTAACGTCAACATTACTTACCTTATTGTACCACCTAACGTGAGAAAGGCGTCGGTGGCACAGCGGTTAGGACGCTCGCCGACCATGCACATGGTCTGGGGTTCGATCCCCGGCCAACGCACTCCTCTACCTCGCTAAGCCAGAACTACTGCTGGTGAAGAAGAAAGGTTGGGCATGAGGCTAGCAACCCCATCCTGTAAAATAAACGCTGCTACAGAAACTTCAAGCCACAAGCTTGAAGCCCTATGTTCCACTGGGGAACGTGAAGGAAACATAACGTGAGAAAGAGATCGTAGACATCTATGATCAAAAACAGTCAACCTTTTCATGTCTTCAACTCGTATTGGCTATGTTTCAGAGCCATAGAGAAGGACGGAGCGAACTGCTGAGCAGTACACACGTCCCTTGATATCTGCTTATGATTAACACACAACATGACAAGAATGTTAATCAATGACCCAATAACTTAAGGAATCATCAGTAAGTTAAGTCACATAAGATTCATAAACATTCCATTCAAAAATCATATTTAACACAGTTGACAGATTGAATGAGACACTGAACAGTCATTCGGGTCAAGACCAACTGTTGTGTTAAAATACAAAGATCTCATTTATTAATCAACGGGTTAACAAACAACTTCGTAATCATCGATTGAAATTTGAAATCTACAAATACTTAAAAGTATACTTATATATGTACACTAATATAGCAGTTCGAACCTTGGTAGAAAAGGATTGAGATACATCGACTGCTTACACGGTATATAAAAATGGTAATATTAATTATAACTGTTAAAATGCAATTCAATAAACCTATTTTCTTTCGTAATTTTAGACTACCGTAAATGACTTGAGTTAGACATGGGGATTAGACTCTATTCTTTCCTTTTTCATTGCATGAAGAATCGAAGTGAGTTTTCGAGTAATCAAAATTATTTAAAAAAAATATAATTAGACAACGGGCTAACACAGATTTGATGTACTTAGGTGAGCTTAGGGAATGGGTGTTAATTCTGAGACATTAATTTCACTTTTCAAGAGTTTGGTTTGTAATGATTAGATTTGTTTATACGAGTTTGACCACGGACTGATATCAGTTAGAGAACCACTGAAAACAAGCAGGGAGTACTGGGCAGCTGTTCCACCCTAGTTTGGGAACCATCGGCAGTACGCACCCACCACAAGGGTTCGAACGCAGGACCTTCAGGTAACAAGGCAAGCTGTCTCGTATACCATTCAGCCACTAAGACCCAATTTAATGGCCAGTCCATGAATTCTAACTTCTACCAATTCGTGATTTAGCGCGACCACCAACCAATGTCATCAGTGGGAACTCCATCCACACTTCCGACTGGATGGACCTCACTGGTCCCAGTGGCTGAATAGTATACGAGCCTGCCTTGTAACCGGAAGGTCGTGGGTTCTAACCCTGGAGGTGGGTGCGTACTGCCGATGATTTCCAGACTAGGATGAAACAGCTGTCCAGTACTTCCTGCTTGTTTTCAATGGTTCTCTAATTAATTTCACTTTAGATGTCACACTCATTTATAAGCCAACAAATTATGGTGGAAGATCAGAAGTTTAATTAATTCCGATTCAGGAACAATAGTTTTTGTATCTTTTTTCTCAAATATTGTTGGATCTGAGAGAGATTAGTCTAGAGAAGACTCTTCAATATTCATTAGGGGAGCGTATAAACATGAGATCAACCAGTTAACCTTCAAATCAAGAAACAAGAGCTGTCAAAAAGACTTCAGTAAGAAGAACATGAGATTTTTGATGCTTCGTTCTCAGACTTACTTTATGCCGAAGAATACTTAGCTAGTTTTAGTAATGATTGAGATAAATATAAAGTTCACCAAACACTCCCCAGTCTAATACCAAAACTATTTGAGTAAAGAAAACAGTTGAACGACTAAGGAAAATAAAATTCAACGAAATAGAGAAGTAAAACTTATATTCGCATCTCTATGGTTTAAGTTTTAAGCAATTAAATATTATTAACTTCGAAGTCATGTACTTACGCTTCATCCCAATACCATTCATTTTTATGCAGTATCTCTCAGAAGTTTGACGACTACATGTATTTTACCTTTGTGAAGAATTTTGTATGAACAACACAAAGAAGAGAAGCTCAAAGTCTGACTGACCAACGTCTGTCTGTTTTCGACATAGAACTTTACACCTATGTGCAGCAGTTCAAGTCGCCACACTCCCTCCATGTAGCACACAAAGCAAGAGAAGAAATGCATAATAGAGACAGTAAACAGAGGTATAAGGCAAAACGAATAGTAATATCGAAGAAAATTATAGTTTCATTGGAAATCATAAGTCACAAGGAGTGGATGCATCTGCGTCATTGAGAACGATTTTGAGCCATATCACCAATTGTTTCCAACCATTGGACCCCAACCAGGAGGTGTACACCTTCCTAAATGGCTAGCTTAAACTAACTGTTGTGGATTTCATTGACTTTTGCAATGTTTTGGTTTGACCGCCGCTAGCTCTTTTCCAGCCTGACCCTATGTCAGCTAACAGTGACCGTCGAGGAAGGCGAAGGCACACGTAACACATGTCCTAATCATCTCAATCGGTGTAGCTTTAAAAGGCTATCTGTGGTGTTTCTATGGCTCTCATCGTTATTTGTGGTCAAAGAAGGTGCCTCACTAACTTGAAGAATAGTACTAACTGTAGTAGGGGAATAAGATGATGAAGGTGATGTGGGTAGAGGAGAATGATGCTCAGGAAGGCTTCGTGTGCTTTCGGAAGTGTGTGGGCGGTTGTTACTTCCCAGCTGCCCACACCGTGGAAGTTGATTGATTCTTTGCGTACCTGAAACAGAGAGAGGGACTAACCAACGTGGAACTTTTCAAAAAAGTGCGTAATTATAAGCTGCCACACTTCGGAAAACCACATATGAAAGCAGATGAAAGAAATGTAGCAGAACCAAATGGGAAGATGTACGGCAGAAAGAACTGTTAGATAAATATTAGTAGAAATTTTTGGAATCTGAATAATCACAAGGAGTTATGGCATTTACACGTCTGTAAACAATTTCCAGCCATATCGCTAACAGTATCCAACTATTTTTTCTTAGCATCCTTAGGACGCCAGCTAGGCATTCTTCGTCTCCCTATGTCGCTCAAACCAATAGTCACACTTCACAGATTGATGCTATGTTGTGGTATTGCCACTTCTAAATCTTTTGCAGAGCAACCTAATCCTGTGTCAGTTAACAGTGCTGGTCAGGAAAGGCGGTGGCTGGACATGCGTAAGATATTTTCCTTTTATTTCAATCGATGCAGACCTAAAATGTTATTGACTGACTTTGCCTCCTTATTTAACACTCCACACCTAGCCTCATTACTACTGACCATGTTACATCGCCTAATACGAGAAACCAAAGGCAGATACCCACAGTTAAAGACTGCTGGTCTCTTCAGATGTTTCATTTTCAATAGTCAAGTCACACAGTCGTAAAGTAGGACAGGGTGAACTGCTTCATAGTGCTCACATCCTTTGTTTGATATCCAAATATTACGATCGCGCCAAATGCTACAGAAGTCTTTCGTATCTAGGCTGAGATTTCACTGGCAATCTGTCAGTCAAAGCTGATGAAGTGAAGTGGTCAACTCGTTCAACTACTCCACTCCCTACCCTTATATGGGAGTCGGTGTAGAAAAACACTGCAGCATCAAATTGCATTCGAGAAGGGAGAATCAAATGCTAAATCTACCATGGTTTATGCTCAACATATTCAGAAAATGGAGTTTTACCAGAGTTCATCTAGAAGGACAATTTTATCTGCATACTAAAGACCAAAAGCAACAAATCAATCGCCAAAATGTCACAGTCAACCAGAGTCACCTACACCAACATATCTTTAATGAAACTAAACGAAAATGGTAATATTTATGTCCTTGACTTGCAGCCTAGATTGTCATTAATTCACACAGAAACTCACCATATATTTTTACACAGCCGTATGGGTTTGAATAGAGTGCCTTGATTAGCCTGATATAATTCCTCGACACTCTGCACAGCCACACATTTTCACATCTCTGGAGGAACGCAGTCAAATGCAGTCTTCAGGTCAAGAAATATGATGTTGGACACTGATAAGTGCGTCTGTCTTCCAGTACTTGTTCAAGGGTAGAAATATGATCCTTCTGTGATTATTAAAAGCATATTTGTTTCTTGGGACAACTAGTGAACTACATCAATTCTATAAAGCTATCTTGGAATCCTATATACTAGCTGATACAATAATTAACCTAGCGAATAATTCATCACCATCATCCCTGGACACCTCTGGAGTCTATTTTAGTGTAAGATTCGGAAGTCAAGCTACTACAACTTCTTTAATACACCTTAATTAGCCCCCAGCTGTTTTCTCATCTCGCTGAACATTCGCCATTATCAGAAGTTATTTTTTGTCCATCTTATATCTACCCATGTGTAACGTATTACATAATAAGTGTCTTGATTTCCATACCTGTAGTACTGTAAGTTGTTGAAGACTGATGAAATTTGACGAGCAGTGAACACAAGAGAACATTATTTAAAAGCTCATCACCTTTTCCAAAATTTAAACTACTACGTCTTGAATAGAAACAAGCAAACTTTGAGCAGTATGTTTGAACAATAGTGAAAAGCTTTTTCAAGCCAGTCGTCTAAGGTAAATCAAAGTTGGTGGCTAAGAAAAGCGAACTATTCATTCACAGAAACAGTGACGAATGGTTGAGTGTTCATCGTCTTCTTAAAACTGTTTTCAGGTAAAGTCAACAAAGCATTTTATTCGCTGATTACTAGGAATATTTCAGTGAAGGTCTATGAGAATTAGCAAGACTTACAGAAATACCTACTGTGCAAATTGCCACAAAACTATTGATCTGATAGCTGTGTAACGCAAAACTAGGCACATTCGAGGAGAAAAGAAGGATAGGAATACTTAATAATAATGTGGCCTCCATTAGCCGAGACTTTAAATTAAGCTCTAGTCAACCTCATAACTTTTCTTAAAATTTGAGAGCATAGTGAAGCCTCCAAATGTTCAAGTCTCATTCGAAATCCCTTCAGAGGTATCAGTACTATTGAGTGGAGCTCCAAGCAGTTTCGCAAATAATTAGGTATATTAGAACCTAGTTAAGCATTTAAAAAAGCACTATTATATGAAAAGTAGTGAAATAATTTCCTTCAAAATATTGGTGAAGTGTACACCTGGTGTGAGACCAGTATCGAGAAAACAGGTTAGGCAGGTAGAAACTTCGACATCATTCCGCTCAAAATGTAAGTGAAGTTGAGACAGTTGAGTATTCCTGGAAATGACATTGTAATGTCCACACCATTTGGTGTTGTCGGAAAAAGATCATGATCTGCAGATGGCCGTTACCTTACTTACCTGAACAGTTTTGCCGAGGCCCATTTCATCTGCCAGTATGCCATTCATTCCATTCTCATATAAAGTTCTTATCCATCTATAGCCCAATATTTGATAGTCTCTAAGTTTACATTCTTCCAATGTTAGAGGTATGTCACAGAGGCCTATAAGTTATGGCTTAAAATACAGGGAAACCTAACTGTTATTTTCTTCTGATTCAAGCCTTGACCTCAACGTGTTCACATAGACATTAATCTTCTCGAGAATTCCTAGAAGTCCGTTAAATTGCTGTTCATCTGTCTCCATTTTTATAACTACGCTATCCCATGATTGCCTTCTAACTCGAGAAATTAAAACAAAATGCAGTTGTATCTGTGCTCATCAGCTCATTAGATGGTGCGACTGGGTTTATCCGTCAGGTTGGTTGAAATTTTGCACGGTAAATTTATTTTATGAATAATTTTTAATAAAACTGTGTTATATATTTCCGGATTAATAGGAAATCGACATTTTTGAGAATTAAACATAACTTTCGCTGTCGAATGAAAGTATAGTCTTGCTAGCAATCCCTTCACATTCTCACTGGTCCATACCGTCTACTTGCTCCTGTAATCCCTGTTCTGCAGTCTCTGAAACTTACTGGAACAATTCGTCCTCATCCAAATACTTTTCAGCTACCGGCGAACAGATTCTACCAGTGGACATAACACAGAATTCAACCGGATATGTGGATTATATTTTTATTTTTTGGTAGTGAACTACAACCGTATTTTCAAGTTATCATTAAATTTTGTAACTCATCTATACTTTTGTATTATAGTTTCTCAATATTCTTTTACTAGGTTGAATATTTATTCTGATAATTCATACGTTTATTGAGTTCTCTGTCCAGTCCATTACAGAGATTGGCTTCTGAAAATTATCACTATTCGTTCGTATGGTTCCAAGTGGGGCATGGGGCTTAAGCTACGCATCCCCACTTCATTTAACCCTATGCCATCTTTTCAGTTTACCTGTAAATGCCCACAATTATTCATCCCATTTATAGATGACCACTCCTATGCCATCTGAAGCTCAGTTAGTTGCTCCTCAAATGAGTTCCATCCGATTGCTTAAGTGGAATGATTTATGTTTCCAAAATCCAATCTGCTTGGAGTATAGCATTTCATTCTGGGCAGATTGCAGCCTCCTTAGTATGATACAAGTTAGTACTTAGATTGGACTGGACAGGAGAAATATTCAGCTATAGTTCTAGCAAGAACGTAAGTTACTCCTACTCGACAGTCTGACAAACTAGAAGTTGTTCATATAGACAAATACTTTTCCCTTCTGATCAGTGGGATATCCATGTCCCTTGAGTCACCAAATGCTGTAGGAGAAGTTTGTCTGATCCTCCAGTACAACAGGTTCGCTACTTCAGCTGCATCTCAAACATTTCAGTTTCAACTACCACTGTGTTCATCTGTGCTGAGTGAACCATAGTGAGCACAACTGCGTGTCCGAGGAACACGACAGCGGCTACTGAGTTGTGATGTGGTCACGTATCTGCATGCTCTCTTCATACCATCGTTAACAAACACATCCTTGAACGGCCTCAAGTGGTATCTCCTCCCCTCACTGGTTGGGGCGGAGTCATAAACCGCCTGGACACCAGGTCAGGGAGGCCGGGCTAAAGGGCCAACAAGTAGCATGGCTAAGGCTCGGGTCTGTGAGGGTGATCGATCACACAACAATCGTGAGAATTATTTCTAGTGGAAGCCGACCGGACGTTTCAAATGGTGTAACTGAGACGTTTCCTAGAACGTTATGACTATCAAGAATGCCGACTTCAGTAAGGGCCTGGTGTTGCTGTTGGTAGACCTGGTTATTTGACATAGTTCTCCTAGGTGCCAGGGTGTCATAAAAGCATATTATGTCACTTTTAGTACTCTTTTTGACTCCATTGTTCAGTACATTGCAGACCGCACCCAACATCTATACACGTTCATCTTCTTCACTATCCGCGTCTCTTATAACATTTAACATGTGTTCAAAGAGAGCAACTCCCTACCCTCCCTCTTCATCTTATATAAGATGACTGAATAGGTAAGCTTTTGAAGCTAAAAAACTGGCCTGGAAACTACGGTTAATTGGCTTCTTGACCGTGTCTGCAGTAAGCCGCCTTCCCGCTATTATGAGAATTGAATGAAACAGGATTTCTTTTCAGTGTTACCAAGGATACCAACTATTCTACTCAAATTATAGCAATATAGTAGAAGACTAATAGTGTTCACTAACCTCTGTTTTCGAAAGCACGTCAGGGGCTAGTGAAGTGGGAGAATACCTAGTCAAACAAACGGAAGGGAATTCATCATTCATTTGGTAAATAAAGCCCTACAAATCATGAAGACATATTTCCTACTTGGTTGCTAACTTTATCCTTCTGAATTTATCAGCTAATTACTACATCTGAGTGACCATAGTATGCTGTGTTGTGAAGGCCTTACATCAGCCTGCTGCTGGAGATAACTTCCTTCAGAATGTTGGTTCTAATGGCATTTCTCCCGGACCAATACCTAGGGTTATTCAATGAGTGCGCTTAGGGACTATAACGTCAGTGGAAAAATCGTTACTTTTGTTCTCTGCAACATGAAGATGCCGACTATATGTAGTATATCTAAATTGGATAAGTTAAGGTTTTCCATCTAGTATTTTGCGTGGAAATGTAATGATACCATTCATCAACTTAGTTTACTGCTTACCTTTTCTGTTGAAATAGCTATACCAGACTATTACTGGTTGCTTCCCAGTTTGAGCATCTTATTTCGCTACCTAATAGTCAATATCTGACAACTAGTTTTCCTACTCAAAATACAGGGTTCGGCCCAATTAGCTCGCTCCCTATTCCTCACAGTCTTCTCATTAGTACCCGCACTGACCACTACAGCCTACGGAAGCCTTTCTAGTGCTACGCAGGGATAATTGTAGTCTGGATAGGCCGGTTTTAGTCTGTCGATGCTTACACTGTCCGCGACATTACCATCTTGAGTAATAGAGTGTTTCAGGTGCCTTGCCGTGACTTTTAAGGGCTCTTCATATGGCGGACTGAAGGGCAGTTGTGTTTTATCCCTTTTCGCCCTTACACAGGATCAGGAAACCAATCCTTTGGTGTGTATACCGATCTTTATTGTTCTCATGAGGTAAGTGACCTTGAGCTGGTTATTTGTAGTCGAAGTCTGTCGGCCTATATAGCCTGGTTAATGTTATTCTTATTAACACTTAGACTGATAAACTCACCAGGTAGTTTCAGAGAGCTTCTGAAAACCACTCATGTTGCGGAATATTGATCAGCAGCTTTTACTGGTGTTCAGACACCAAGCATTACCATTGGGTGCAATTCTGTCCAGCGAGTGGGGTTAGAGTGAGATGCCAATGCAACCTTCATTTGTTGATGAAAGCGTTCTGCCGCTCCATTAGCTTGAGGGCAACATGCCGTGAAGCGGATTCTATGTGACCTGAGAGACTGCGAAAATTTATTGAAGGGCTCTGATTCGAACTGAGCTCCTCTGTCAGTCGTTATTGTTATAAGCACATCAAACATGGCTACCCAGTGTTAAAGAAAGGCTTTTGCTGCCGCTTCCACTGTCATATCAATAAGTGGTGTGGCTACTGGGAACCAGGAGTGCTTATCGAAGCGTGTAGGGAAGTAAGTGAATACGTTTGAGCGTGGTGAGGGACCTACCAAGTCCGCATGAAAATGGGAGAAACGGGTATCCACTTGTGAGAATGTTCCTAAAGGTGATGTTGTGAGTCTGCTTGTTTCCGCCCTCTGGAATGACATAGGAAACCTCCTTTAGTTCTACACACAGCCAAATGTGACTTGTCGGGATTATTTTAGCTGAAGCCTTTGCTCCATGTAGGATGATGAGTGAAAATTACTGCATATAGCTTTCCATATAATTTTAGAGATGAATGTCTTGAATGGATATTTTGTTGTGTAGCAGCACATTAGGTTGCCATATTTCGGAGATGGTATTTGTTTAAATCTGAGACTAGAGCTATCAGCAGTGAGGGTATGCTTTGACACTTCGTCGTTCATTTGATTTTTGGCCGGTGCTTTGAAATCTTCATTGGTTTATTGCACTGCATTCTAGTGCATTAAGGACAGTGCATCAGCCAAACAGTTCTCCGCCATCTTCACGTATCTTACATTACTGGTAAAATCTGATACATGCTGCTGTGATACTGCTGATACATAAGCTGAACTCCTTGGGAATATGTGATCCTTTATTAGGATGGCTTAAATCATTCCTTAACAACAGGTCCCAAGTAGTGAGTCTTGAGTTTGAGACTTCCAAACATAACCCGATCACTTCTGGTGTAGTAAAAGGTAGCGTCATTGGGCCCCTCCCATTTACACTTTATATCAACGACATATGCGCTTGCTTCTCACATGGGAAGCAATTCATCTTTTCAGATGACATAAAAGTATCCTATGCATTCCAGTGTGATGACCTGGGGGTACCTCCAGAATGTTGTGCAGAATGAACTAGATAAAGTGACTGCTTGGTCATCTTTATGGAATCTAAAATCCAACCTGCACAAGTGTAGTTGGATCTGCTTCGGCGCACCCTCAATCGAAATAAAATCAACGCTTCAATCTGCTAACCTACCCAAACTTCGAAGTGTCGTTGACTTAGGCCTGAGGTACTCTAGTGACCTATTATTTTCTGAGCAAGTGGTATCACAGACTCAAAAGTTGAGGGTGATCTTAGAATGCGTACTCAGGAACATTCACGACAATGAAGCCAAGCTAATTTTATACAGAACATGTGTAAGGCCACTATTAGAATACTGTCCATTTATTATTAGCAGCACTTGCATATGTGACAAGCTGAGGATGGGAAGTATCCAGCGATATTTCACGTCCAAACTACTTGGCTACGATTGTAAAAAGACTGCGTCTCACGGTGCATGATTCTGAATCTTGATCCACTTTGGACGAGACGACTTACTACAAACCCAATATTCTTCCTTAAGGTCCCACACAAAATATTATTCTCGGACAATGGGGACACACAACTCTCACCGGAGGGCTCTTACGATCTGCGTAACCAAACTTGCATAGCGACAATAAAGCCTTTAAATCAACACTGCGAAAACTTCTTCACAGTTATGCATCCTAAAATATGGATCAGTCTGCCCCTTGAGGTCAGAACTTGAACCTCGGTTATAAGTTTCAAATGCTCTTTGTACAGACTGTTTCTCTCTACTGATTACATTAACAAACTAATTATTTCTAGAAGGAATCAACTATTAGTTTACTGCAGTAATTAAAGAACGCTCAAAAATTCCCTAATTACTCT